GCTTCAGTGGGTCTGCCCTGCAGCCCAGGAAGAGTAGAATTTGAAGAGTTTTCCAGTGGATCTTTCCTTACTCGTTGTTTCTCAAAGAAGCACTCTCTCGAAAGGTTGGCAGCATGTTCAGGGGTGGGAAGGCAATATTTACATTAGTTACCTTTTAAAGACAACTTTCAGGCTCCTTCCTCCCAGTGTGTGCTGTTGTTTGTTTAATAAATGTGTGAGGGAGTGAACGCATAAGAGAAAATGTGAGCAAATGAATGAATGAGTGAATTAATGAATGAGCAAAGGGGTAAACAGTGAGTGGATGAATGAATGAATGTTTCCGTACATGAGTGACAGATGACTCAGCCAGTGAGTAAATGAATGAAATAAGTGAATCAATGTTGAATAAATGAATATGAGTCAATCAGTGACTGACAAGTCCGTGAAGGTATAAATGAGTGGAAAAGTGAAGGAGAAAACTGCAGCCCTTTCACAAGAAAGTTGCCTCCATGAGAGAAAATGTTTAAGTGAAATAGAAAAGCAAATTTGCCCCTCAAATCACAACACCCTTACCCACCACACACCCCCCTCCACACAGAAGATCTCCAGGAACCCTTGTGTCCCAGGGAAGATCTCCAGTAGCCTGCTCACCAGCAACAAGGCCTCCAGGGGAACAAAGGAAAGATTCTGTCTTTCTACACAGCTTTCCGATGGCTCTCAGTTCCTCAACCTGAAACACCCATCTGTTCAGAAAAAACACAAGAGGGAAAAACAATAGTAACTGCCTCATGGGAACCAGCCAGTGCAGAAAGACCCAGAAACGTGGGAAGGTGGTCAGAGACCAGATCTTCTTCTTCTCGGTGCAGTCCAGAGAAACGTCCTCAGCAGGGACCAGGACAGAATGGGGGGTGGCCCCCTTCTAGAACATTCCCTGACTCCTTTTTTAGGCAAACCTCAAAAATGGACAGAAATAGGAGGACCGGCCCCCCACCCCTGACAGTGTGACCTTGTCGCCTGACATTGAGAGGGAGTGTTCACTCACTGGGCTTCAGGGTCAAGGTGTCTGCTGCCCTGTGGGGTGGGCAAGGGGAGAGGATGAACTAAAGTCAAAGAGGACAATGGGCTACCAGCATCCCTGGGTCACAGGCAAAGTTGCCTCCATGAGAGAAAATGTTTAAGTGAAATAGAGGCAGACATAAAGCAAACCCCAAGGTTTGTCTAAAAAAAAAAAAAAGACGTGATGTTCGCTCTTGGCTTCTTCCCTCCACGCCTGTGCACCGTGTTCGGGGAGTGACTTTTCATAGCAGAGGGAGTGAAGCCCCACACCTCCTGGCTGGGGGAATTCCATGCGCTGAAAAGCAAGCACATGACCAAAGTCACACTCGAGGCCAGGGCAGCCTGCAGAGAACGCAGCCCCTCCCAGGATGCACTGCAGCAAATAGAGCCGGACCCTATTTTGATTTGCACATTGCTCAGAAAAGGGGTCTCTAACTTCCGCTGTGGTTTGCCTGGCATTGGGGCCCCAGCCCCAGTCCAGGGCCCCACGTGTGCTGCTGGCACTGGATCTCCTTTGATGTGGAACCTGTGCCACTGCCCGGGGCTCTTGGCGCTAGAGAAAGCAGCCAGCACCCCCATCCCAGGCCCTCTGCACTGTGGCTTATCTGCAAGCCCGAGGCCACCGCGCTCCGGCTACAGCTCTCAGCTTCCGAGTCACGAGTGGGGGGGGGGGGCAAGAGGCAGGGTTGCTTTCTTCTTTGGGCTGATACATCCCACCTGCTGCTGCTCTTTGCAACCAACCTCCAGAAGGAGGCAGGGGCAGAAGGGAGTGCAGAGCCTTCTGGAACTCTCTCTCCCCTTCGCTGCGCAGGCTGCCCGATAATAACCCTGGAGACTTCCACCCGTCCCTGTGAAGGACTGGGTTTCTCCTCCCTGTGAAGGACTGGGTTTCTCCTCGCAGCTTCCTCTTCCAGCCACCGCGCCCACCCCTCCAGCCTCCTGTACCTCCCCAGCCTCGTTCTGCATAGAGGGAAGAATGATCCTTTGTAATGAAAATGGGTTGCTTACTGCCTTCACTCTGACCCTGAGCCCCCAAAGCACACACCCATCTTTGGTATCATTGGTATCATTGGTGCATCAAGAAGCACGGGGTAGGAGGTGGGTTTCAAAGACGGTGGGTCACGAATTCTTCCTGGGAATAGTCTGCAGGTGTGTGGGGAAAGGCTCTTCGTATTTTAAAACTGATTTCGAACGGGTTGGTTTTTAACATACCGGCTACTTTCTTATGGAACCACACTCTGCGAAATAAATAAATAAATTGGAGACTTCAGCAGAGTTTTAATGCAGCAGGAAGGGAGACCCACCATCCACCCCCTCAGGCCTGGGTTTTGCCAACGCTGGGCTTTCCCACTGTAATGGCCCCCAGCCTCTGCAAAACAAAAGCCAAGATGAGTCTCCAGCCACAGCGGACATGAGCCCCAAACCCCCACATGCAGCCTGCAGCCGGGGAGCCCCAAGTACAGCACTGGTATTTGGGGAGAGTGTGTTCCTTCTGTCTTGAAAGAGCATTAATGACTAGGTGGCAGGTGCTGCTTTTATTGGAGTACTTAGGGTGCCTATGATGGTTTGTGGGATCAGCCCCCCTCATTGGCAATTAAGTTCGTTCTGTTTCAGGGTCAGAGATCGTACCCCTCATCTCTTGGCAGGCTGTCTCACCCATGTGCATCCTGGGTGTCTGGGACAAGCACTGGGATCTCAACTGCAACTGTAGGAAAATGCCTGGACAGACAAGCTGCACAAAGAGCCAGACAGTCAGAAGTGGGCGTAATTTCAGTCGCTCAGCGAACACGGTCCCCCAGCCAGGAGCTAATCTAGGCCAGACCAGGTGGTTGATCAGGCCCTGTCCATCACAATTGCAATTAAAAAGAGAAGAGAAAAATCACCAAATGTTTATTATGCTTCCTATGGCGGGGTGGGGGGGGGTCAGTTCTTTTTTAACACAGCAGGTACTTCGTGGTAACAGGAGACACAGACATCTGCAATCAGCAAGGAAAGCAATTCCGGGTAACCATCTCGTCAGGCCCTCCTGGACGAGCAGTGGGTTAAAGGCAGGACTGCAGGCCTGCCACAGCCGCTTCTGTGCAAGTTCGATCCCCGGCCCGGAGCTGACCCACATGGCGCAGCAGACTTCTCCTGTCTCGCCCGCTGCTCCCCTCAGCAGTGTACTTCATCGATCCGCCTGTTCTGCTCCTGAATCTGTCTCTGGTGAGTCCTCCCATCACCCCAGTACCCCAGTTCTGCATGCATAAATAAATAAATCTTTAAAAAAAAATCATCTTCAGAAGGCTGAAGGATTTTGAGTGTCCCAGGACCATGCCCTTTGTCTCTGACATTCTGTGACATCAGCCCATCTTCTCTCTGTCCGTGCAGCTTGTCCAAGATCTGCACCTGCTCTTCCCAGTGGGCTGCTTCCTCCAGGGGCCCCACGCCAGCTTGCTTTACTTGGCTTTCCTACCCCCACCCCCAGCTGCCATCCATAGTTCTTGGGCCAGACAAGTTCAATTTCTTCTTTGACTTATCAGGGTGCCCTCGAGTCCATCAGGCCCCCTGTGTCTAAGGAGACCCAGTAGCCGGACCCCAGGACCACAGAGGGAAACCAAGACAGGGGATGGAAAACAAAGGTACTTCCTGGGTGAGCCCCCTGCACCCCTGCCTCCCATCCTCCAGCTCCAGAGAAACATGCTTTCATTTTGCATTCAGAGATATATTTTTTTTAATTTATTTATATGTGCATACAGAACTGGGGTACAGGCCAGAGGCTCAGGGGCAGCGAGAAGCTTCACTAGAGACAGAGCGGGGAGCAGAACAGGCAGATCGAGGAAATACACTGCTGAGGGGAGCAGCGGGCGGGTCAGGAGAGGTCTGCTGCGCCATGTGGTCACCTCCGGGGCAGGCAGGAATCAAACTCATGCAGAAGCGGCTTTAGATTCTCAGTGCTGCGCTTTAACCCGCTGCGCCACCAGGGAGGGCCACATTCAGAGCTATTTTTAGGTTCATTTTGTCCTCTTCCAGAATGCCATCTTCCACACAGCAGCTTGGCTCTCCTTGAACTTTTAAGCTCTTTCCCTATCCCACAGCCCTGGATTCACCAGCGCAACTTGTGTCTGAGTTTGCCACTGGCGTTTCTAAGTCAGAAGGACAATCAGAGACCCATTATGTTTCCACAAGCCAAATCATATTACAGCTTTGCCAGGAATTAATTTCTCTGGGTGAGTGGGAGGCCTGTTTTTCAGTTTCTTTTTGTTGGGGACTAGGCATTGATAAAACTTAGGCCTTTTCCTGCTGAGGACCGGTAACCCCTCTGGCCAATGGCAATGCATTTTGAAAAACTTGGCCAAACTTTGGGTCCTACTGGAATTTCACCTTTTAAAATTGCACCATAAATAGGGCCATCAGCAGCACCGGGGACGACTTTTGATCATACAGAGAAACTCATTGTATTGGGATTTTTTTTTTCTGTGCTAATATAATGATTTAATAAAGACATTTGGCACATAAGTAAGATTCTCATAGACCGAGTGTTTTGAACAATGAGAGGATTAGGGTCTGCCTGTGGGAGTATTAGTAAAAGTGTCTTCTAGGGTTTGTGAAACTCTCCCATCTGTTTAGAGATAAATTTATTATTCTTAACTAAAAACCCTCCTGAAATAGATGTAATGAAAAAAAAAAAATTTTCTCCCTGTTAGGAGACTTTGCAAACAAGCTTAAAATTGCTTAGAAACAAAAGACAGGAGGAAAAAGAATGGACCGAGTCTCCAGATAATGAGGGCCTGCCTTTGTGTTTTATCTGCAAAACAGCACAGTTTGAAAAGTCTGGATTCCATTTCATTTGAACTCAACATAAATGTAGTGCCTGGAATTCTCCCAAATGAATAAATTCTTTGCCGCTCTTTTTTTTTTATTATTATTATTTTTACATCATTTTGTACATTTTTTTTTTCCATCTCAATTGTAATCCCCGCGGGTTTCCCATCACCAAGTCACCCGTGTGCCATCACCATAACTTTGCCAATAATTTTTAAGTAAAGGAAGATCAGCAGGATAGTGGCGTGGAGAAGGATTTTGGGCTGTGGGGTGTGTGTGTGTGTGTGTGTGTGTGTGTGTGTGTGTGTGTGTGTGTGTGTGTGCGCGCGCGCGTGCGCACACAGTATGGGGGTGACCAATAGGATATAAATGAGAGGAGACAAGCCCTTCAATGTCCTTACTGGTACTGGGAAAATGAGAGGGACGTGTGGCCTGGTGCTTAACAGGACAGTTAGCAGAACCCCAGACACGATTCTTTCATCTTCTTTCTATGTCATGATGAATTCTGTCTCCCTCGAAAAAATCCGATAGACTCATCTCCTCTAGCAAAGCTGCTCTAGCTGACTATTGGCTCTTGCTAATCCCAGTGTGGTTTTCCTCTCATCCTGAGGACAGCGACCTCCCTTCTCTCCTGTGCCTTTGAATTTTCTCCCAATCGGTGAGCAAAAGGACCCAGCTGATGGCAGCTAAGCACCCACAGCAGATCATGGGGCTCTTCTGTCTTCCTCCATTTTGTGACATCTTGCCCAGCGCAGCCTGCAGTGAGGAGGCAGACACAACCCCAGGGGCCCAGTTCATCCCCTTCCCGGCCAGGATCAAGATTACCAGGGCAGGAACTGCATCACTGGCTTCCGTAAACCACTCCACCAGAGCTTGCAAAGTCCTGCAAGGCTCACTCTCCTCTTTCAGGCTTAATGTTCATTTTGTTTCCTTGTTAGAAAACTGAAGAACAAAGAAAAGGCCGTCGAGTCTCCTTTCTGACCACTGGGAGAAAGGTAGAGAAAAAGAAAAAAAGGCTGAATGAACAAAGAGAGGACACATCTCCCTCCTCCTCCTCCTCCTCCTCCTTCTCCTCCCCCACCCACAGCAAAATCTAATAAAGATGATTAAATTACATGTCTTTCCCTCCCATTGAAATCCACTGCATACTATTCAAATATTAGAACTCAGGAAATCAGGCAGGACAAGGTCCCTTATGAAACCCTAGAAGACAGCACGGGAGTCTGAGCTGGAGGTCTGCCTGGCTGGGCAGCTCTAATTAAGAAATCACCCTGCTGAGCAGAACTTAATCTAAATAAAATATATAAAGGAATTCAGTGAAAACCATTACCTCCTCCTCACACACCTCACGTCCTGCTCCCTCAGCCCAGGAGTTCTCCCTGCTGTCCCAGGTGGTCCCGACACGCACCATCTGGCCTGGGGGCTGAGCGCTCCCTTCACGTGGGACACAGCTTCTTGGAAACTGAGACCTGAAGGAAGCAAAGCATCAGAAAAGCAGCCCTCCAATAAGATCTCCTTCAGGGCTGGCTGAGGCGGGTTTCCCCCTTCAACATTACAATGAAATGATGTTGGACCCAACAGCCTTGCTGGCTGTGGAAAGCTGCTGATCCTGAAGAGAAAGCTGGGCTTAGAGCCTGCTGCCCTGTCCGACTTTCTCAGGGACAGAGCAGACGTCATGGAGCTTGTTTAGGTTTGCAGGGGCCTGCAGGGTGAGATTTAAAGGCTGCGACATCTGGTCGGCTCTCGCTTTCACACAAGGAGCTGCCCACCCCAAAGTCTCTCCATTGGGTGTTAAGTTCTTCACCTCCCCATCAGCTGCTTTTGATGGAGTGGCCATTTGAGAGAAGCGGCCAAAGCTGCTTCACCTGATTTTGTTCAATAACCTTGTGCTGGCCTCAAACCCTTGCTCCATCCAAGGCAGACCTCTGAGGCTGGGGGACACATGTTTAGTCTCATTCCCGCCATGCCCCATGGAAGCCCAGTCCATGTTCTGACCGTTGATTCTGTAAGTGTGTTATTTTTCTTTCCCATGCACGACTTTGCCCAGACTGCTGCATCTGTTCACAAGAGTGATTCTGTCAAGACTGGGTCAAAGAGATGGACTTTCTCCCTGGGTTAAAAAAAATTGTACATGTGCATAGAAGCTCAGTTCTTGGCAACAGGAGGACTCGTGGAGTACCTGAGTCCTTTAAAGAGTTCTCGGTCACCAACTTAAGGACCTTCAAAGAGACTGACCTTTTATCTTTTCTCCTCTGACGAAGATGCAAACACTCTTGACCAAAGTTGAGTCAGACTCCTCTGAGACCATTCTCTCTCTAAGTAAGCCCCAACCTCAGACCATTGAGTCCAGTTTTTTGTTGTTGTTGTTGTTTTAATTTTTTTAAAAGAGTTATTTATTTATTCATACAGAACTGGGGTACAGGCCAGATATGCAGAGGGTGAGAGGAATCACCAGGGACAGAGCGGGGAGCAGAACAGGCAGATCGACGAAGTACACTGCTGAGGGGAGCAGCGGGAGGGTCAGCCGCGCCATGTGGATCTCCTCCGGGACAGGCAGGATCAAACTCATGCGGAAGTGGCTTAAGCTTCTTAGTACTGTGCTTTAACCCACTGTGCTGCCAGGGAGGGCCCTGCATCCAGTTTTGACAAAAATCAGGCTGGATCTGTTTTTGCAAAGCCTCACACAGCCTGAACACATCACCCTAGCCAACCTTCAGCAAACATCCTATCAAGTTGATTAAGCCCTAACTAAGCCCCTTACTCTTTTTTTTTTTTTAAGATTTATTTAGTTATGCATGCAAGAACTAGAGGACAGGTCAGAGGTGCAGGGGTGAGAGGATGCCCCAGAGACAGAGTGGGGAGCAGAACAGGTGAAAACTGGACTCTCCTGCTGAGGGGAGCAGCAGGGAGACAGGAGAGGTCTGCTGCACCCTGTGGGTCCCTCCCTGGCTGGGGATCGAACTCATGCTGCAGTGGCTATAGAGAGCTTCAAAGTGCTATGTTTAACCCCTTGTGCCACCAAGGAGGCCCCTGCAAGCCCTCTACTCCTGATGTGGAAACAACAACTTCAACTCCTGTGCTAAAACTCTCCACTAGTTCTTGCCTTTGGAGCTGAACCGAGTATCTCTCCCTAACTATAGATTCCCCCACTCGTCCTTGTGAATAGTCTTCCCTCCTACCTCTAACAGGAGCCCTGAATGACTTTTCTTTATCCCTGCCATTTCAGGAGAACCCCCTCCATAACTCAAGACCACCACAAAGCTCCACTGACCCATCCTAGAACAGTTATGGACCTCCAGCGCTGGGTGTCCAGCGGTCCCTGTCGCTACATCACAGTGTGGTCACCATCATTTTGTATGTCCATCTTCCCTGAGACCAGGGTCAGCATTTTCTCCCTGAAAGGGTCAGAGAGTCCAATATTTTGGGCTTCCTGGGCTGTGAGGTCTCTGCAGCACTCAAGTCCCCTGTGGTAGCAAAAGCAGCCCTAGAAAATATGTAAATGAACGGGTATGGCTGTGACCCATAAACTTTATAGGCATCGCAATTTGAATTTCATATCATTTTTCATGTGCCACAAAATAGCCTTCGAGTGTTTGATGTCTCAAACATTACAAAGTGTAAAACAACATTCTTATCTCATGAGTTATACAAAAACAGAGGACAGAACAGATGTAATCCACAGGACATAGTTTGCAGACTTCTTCCCTACGCTGAAAAGAGGTTCTCAGAGGGAGAGCTTATTCATTTTTCAGTTTCATCTTCTAGTAATTCCTCAAAGGTCATTCATCTTTGAGTTTCACTGTCTAGAATTAACTCATACACAAATGGGTGAATACCCCAACAAGTGAATGACCAATGAACTGCAAACATCTCTGAAAGACAGATACTAAAGAGGACAACCTTATTTGGGGGCAGGGGAGGCACTCTTAAGAGTCCATGTTTTGTGTCATGATTAGGGACATCACACTTTAAGTGACTTAGCTACTAAGGCTCCAAACTGCAGGTCTCCCAATATTCCACATATCACGGAATACATGCCAACATCTAGAGAGTTTAGTCTAAAAATCACCCCTTTTAAAGATAAGATTTCTTACACCCCTCCCTGCTTTGACAGAATCATGGCTTCTTGGAACCTTTCCTTAGAAATCCCTTAACCATCCTGTGATCCGCAGATCTGACTTGATTTCTAGTGACCTCCCCTCCTTACTAGGTTATTCAAGCCAATGAGATCCTTTCTTGTTGAGTATGGACTGGAGCTGTGACTCACTTTGAATCCACTGGTGATATAAAAGTTATGGTCTGTCGCTTCCAAAAATGAGATGGTACCTTTCGTTTTGTCGGGGGACTGTCCTGCCTTCTCTGCTCCCACACTCTGGTGGCAGGGTGCCATGGTGGAGAGCCAATGTGTTGAGTAACTGAGGGTGGCCTTCAGCCAATTTCTGGAAAAGAACTGGGACCCTCAGTCCAACCAGCATCAAGGAACTGAAGTCTTCCAACAACCACAGGACTGGGCTTGGAAGTGAATCTTTCTCTAGTTGAGGCTTCAGATAAGCTCACCACAAACCCTAAACCAGTATTTTGATTGCAGACTTGGGAGAAAACATGAAGCAGCCAAGTCATGCCCAGATTCTGACTTACAGAAACGATGCAATGATAAATGTGAATTATCTTAAACCACCAGTCTTAGTAGAAATGTGTGGTGCAACATTCAGTAACCGATACATCTATCCATAGGACAATTGGATGTCTACTCTTTTCCCTGACAAAATGCTAGGTTCCGTCAGGGCAGAGGTTAGTTGAATACTACTAATCTTGCCCTGTAATTTATAGTCAATAGCTGTTTTCTAAATTGACCACTAGTTTAAATTTCACTGAATTCTTTTAATTAATAACAACAGTATTACTTAAATATGGATCCATAGTAGAACCAGAAAGATGGCTGATTTGGGCAGAAGGTTGTTGAAAATCATTAGGAAAAAAATCATTTGAATGTGTACCCTATTGTACCAAAGACATCTGGGTGTTTTTGGTGGGCTAGGGAGGCTTCGTTCATTTTCAAAGACATTAAAGTTGATGTCCTCCAGTGACACAAAAGAGAGCTTTGCCCTCATCGACACAACCATGTGTGCCCAGTGGAAGATCTAATCATTTAGACCATTCTGCTCCCTTCCCTTGTTCCATGTTTTATGTGTGTGATGAGAAGTACTCCAAAAAGAGAGGAAGAGATGGACATGGAGAAAACAATGGACAATGGAGAAAAGGAAAGAAAGAAGAGCTGAGGAAAGAGAAGTGGTCAGAACCCCAAGATCAGATGCACAGAAATGGTTCAAAAGAAAATGTCTGATTTTGCTGTCTCTTTTCCTAAATATTTTGACAAGGAGTTTGGCACTTATCAAAAAGGAACTAAAGAAAAACAGAAGTTGTCTTACAGAGAACCCAACACTCTTGGAATTCAATGACCTAATTCTGTGCAAGTTTGTAGAGTTGAGATTGCCTCTCTTGTCTGGGGCTCATGGCACTGGACCTGTTTTCTCAACAGCACATGTCTCACCATTATCAGAGGCTGGGAATGAAGACCAGAGAATGTAGGGAAATAGACGGGGTACTATGCTGGGAAACACTGTAGAGTCTCATTGTCTATCTTACTGTTTGCCTATCAGAGCAGTTAAGTCAACTTCTCATGTCTTTTGTAGACATTATATAATATCTTCTTCCCCCAGGCCCAGTAACTAGCTGTTAGCCAGTCTCATCTCAGAATGGGTGGGGGTTGGGTTAGCCTTTTTTAAATAAGTTTCATACTGACATTTGAGGAAACCAGTTTCCAATCATTGAACAAACCTACATTTGCTGCAATTATCATTGAATCAAAAAAGATGGCCAGAAAGTCAAGTGTTCCAAAGTCAAAACAATTTAAGTTAGTTATTTTGAGCCTAGAACATTCTCATCTGTAAAGTGCGGGTGATAGCAGAGGATCCATAGGGTTATTTTGAAGGTTAGGCAAGTTTAACAGTCGCCCTCTATAGCAAGGCCACTCAGCATTGATGCAATCGACATTTAGAGGGGGACTTTCCTTTGTTGTAGGGACCTGCCCTATGCCTTTGTAAGAAGTTTAACAGCATCTATAGCTTCTGTACAGACTAGATGGCTTTAGGCCAAACACAATCGCTGCCGGTTGAGAAGCTGATTCTTATTCGTCACATATGTTCATTGTCCCATAAATATTAGATTTTTGATGATCATCAAAATTATTACTTAACAGCAGCCACAGCAGCAGCCTACTATGGTAACAGCATCTCTGTCTTTGTGAATCTTTGAAAGAGTTGCTGTCTTTTTAAGCCTCTTCAAAAGAAAGGGCTCAAGATTATCAAGACCATTCATGTAATAATAATCCAATAGGAAACCATCCCTTGTAAAGTCCCCTTTTGTGGCAGAAAAGTCCACCATTTTGTTCTTCTCCAGGAGGGAGAGA